GTGAAACGTTCTGCAAAATGCATGTCTTGTATGGTTTGTCAAGGTGAAAAGTATAAATATATATATACTACATGTCTCATATATAAATCATGGAGGATAACTTGTACAAATTCTCTATTTCTTGATACACAATAAAATGAAAAGCGTCTAAATCTGTGGTGAATTATTAAATACGAAGTCAAACCTTTCAGAGTTCGACATTGTTTCCACTATAGTAGTAACTTTTCTCTTGAGAAGAAATGAAAAAGTTGGAATATTGTCTACCTCTTAAAGGCCCACTGCACTACTTGTAGCTACTTGCGCCCTCTATATAACAAACAATGCCTAATCGGTGACCATTGGTCCCCCATGATCCTCTTTTTCTTATGTTAACTGAGAGCTGAGTTGATGAGATAACCATCTGTCCAGTGACCTTGCAGGGCAGTCTAATCCCTCCTGTAAACTACGGCAGATAAGCTTTAAGTTAATAAAAAACGAAAAATCGTATTATATAACTAGTATTTTCATTGTTTCATAATCAAAAAGGTTGTTTTACCTGTGAGACTTTCGCCTTCTCGTTGCTGCAGGCATCATCAGACTGACGTTGTATCGCCACTAGAAAAATCAATTTATGGAATTACTACCAATCAGATAAGCCTCTTCAAGGATCTAAGAAAATGTAATATTCAAACTTGTCTTTAATACCTTTTCCTTTTCAAAATTGAGTAATTTTCGAGTTTTCTATCTACACAATTCTTTGATAATAATCTTTTCATTTTGATGGAATCACATTAGCATGAATTTAAATAACCTCTGCGTATATACTTTGATACTCGTAATCGTATGAAGAGATTTTGGAATTTGGGGAAGTACCTAAACATTTTTGCTATTATCATTATTGAAAAAGTGAATATATTGCACTCATTCTCGATATGACGCACAATCATAGAAAGCTATTATCCAGTACTGGGGGTGTTTCACAAAGATCCTAAAGTCAAACTTAACTCTAAGTTGGACTTAGACATTTATGGAGAGCCGTTTGTAGCCTTTAAAAATAATGCATTCAAAAGCAAAAAATCAAGTTTTTTAGACTTTTTATGAATTCCACATCAAGAACAATGAAATATCCTCAATATTAGAAAAATATGAATGATTTGAATCAACATTATGCCTTTAAAATAACTTTTACAAAGTATTTTCAAAGATGCTAACGGCTTTCCATAACTGTTGAGTCAAACTTAGAGATAAGTTCAACTTAGGATCTTTGTGAAACACTCCCCAGGTTGCGTAAGATTTGTGGTAATCAAAGCAAAGAAATAAAAATGGCAAAGGTTCATTTTTAGCTAGACCGTATCATTCATTCCATACAAAATTAGAAGGGCTCAAACAGTCTAGAATTGTTATCATGTTCATCAAGAAAAAATGCACGGAATACCTTAAGCCCCTTTGCTGATATCCGAAATCCTTATTTTCAAAGTGAACATTTGTTTAGTCTAATTAGCAAATGAAACACATTCATCAACATAAAATTGTGGGCCTCTGTAAATCTTTTAAGCCATTCCTTATAGAAATAACTCTTTCATTGCTTGAAAATGGAAAACTCCTTCCATTATCCAACTAAATTCCCCAATGCATATTGTAAAATGCAATGTCATAATGATGTATTTAAAAATAAAGCTCTGAAAATAACTTAGTTGGCAAATCCCTTAGAATGGATTTATAGAGATGGAAGTAATTACAGAGATGGATGATAAACAGATTGACGAATTGAAGATTATGCGTGGGCACAGAGATTTATCGAAGAGCGTGGAGAAGTAGAACAGCAACAACAACAACGACAAATTAGGACAAAAAAAAAAAGATGATGATGGTGATGAAGATGATGATGATGATGATGATGATGATGATGATGATGATGATGATGATGATGTAGGAGAAAAGGAGGAGGGAGAAGAGGGATAAGAGGAGGAAAACAATGAGAAGAATAAATACGAAGATGACGGGAAAAGAATAAAGATAATAATAATGATAATTATAATAACAATAAAAGTTTTAAAAATATAATAATAAGACGGTGATGATGTTAATAATGATGATGATGATAACAATGATGATGATGATGATGGTGATGATGATGTTGATGATGTTGATGATGTTAATGATGACGATGAAGAAGAAGAACAGCAACAACAAAAGCGAAGGAGAAGAGGAAAAGGGAGAGAGAGAGAGAGAGAGAGAGAGAAAGAGATGGGGAAGGAGAGATAGGGCGACGTAACTGACAAGGCAAAATGCAGATAGTGGGAACAGACACATGCAAAGTAGAGAGACAGAGACAGAGAGAGAGAGAGACAGAGAGAGAGAGAGAGAGAAATAATGAGAATATGAACTACCCCAGATATTATTTGTCTTCACTATTTAGTGTTAAAATTTTTGTATTTTGATGAATATGACAAGTCAACATCACGAGATGGCAGCATAGCTTTTGTCAGGACTGGTCAAATTGATGAATTCAATCATGTACTCCGTTTCCCGGGCATCGGCGGAAACCAACTGAATACCGAACACAAACACGTAATGTGCTATAATTATCTTGCAGGGAGTTCAGTAGTCCTTCGAAAGAAAACTTTGTAAAACCAAGTTCACTTGTAACAAACAGCGAAACACTAACATTGAGCAAAGTATCTGGCCATTTTACTGGGCTTTCGGCTTAAAAACAACGGTCTGACAATTAGCTTGGTCTGAAATCTAGGAAATTCATTTTTTTCATTTTTTTAAACGTGGCCAAATACTTAGAACTAGTATTGGCTTTCTTGTATACGGATCGAATATCTTCTTCTCTCCTCCTCCTTCTCCTTCTTCTTCTTCTTCTTCTTCTTCTTCTTCTTCTTCTTCTACTTCTCCTCCTTCTTCTTCTCCTTCTCCTCCTTCTCCTTCTTCTTCTTCTTCTTCTTCTTCTTCTTCTTCTTCTTCTTCTTCTTCTTCTTCTTCTTCTTCTTCTTCTTCTTCTTCTCCTCCTCCTTCTACTCCTACCACTACCACTATGACTATTACTAATACAACGTTGCTGCTGCTCTTACTACCCCCCCCCCTCTCTCTCTCTCTCTCTCTCTCTCTCTCTCTCTATTTCTATTTCTTTAGTAACACATTTCATTTCATCTAGATACACGAGATTATGAAGAACCCGGCAGTAGAAATATAGAGATAATTTATTCAAGCTCTCTCTTTGAAATGTTCCTTTTCTTGGATAACATTGCTCAAAGATTTCCATTTAAATGTTTCTTTGTATTTATTCTTGTTTTTTTAAATATTTTATGTGTTGTTGTCGTTGTAACTTTTTGGTGACACTTTCTATGACACGGTGTGCTTTGAATGACCTCACGATGAATTTTGACCTACATGTTGTGACAAGAAAAACAAATCCAAGTGGCAAACCATGTAAACTACAAGAGCATAAAAAACATAATTTGCATCAAGTTGTAGGACACTGAAATAGTCATTGGTTTATAGGCCTTAACTGCAATATAGTAATATTTCAAAATAAAAGGAAAAATGACAACTTAATCTTGCTATTGATTTCCTAGTCACGTCTTCGAGAAACCATAGTCTGTCAAAAAAAAATACAAGGTCAGATAATTCCATGAGACTTATTTCTTGACGCACGGTGTACCTAGCTTTAAAAAAATAATATAATTAATACATGGATTTCAAATAGTACAGCTTTCAAAGTTTGTACCATTATAGATATTTTGGGAATTTCATTTTTTATTGAGGCACTGTTTCTCTGGTTTTGATCTTTCCTTTCATCAGAATGATACATAATCCTTTACAAAGGCACATCTCTTCCCGAATCCTGGAGTATTTACACTTGACCAAAAAAAACTTCTCATTAGTCACGCTTCTTAATTGCGTGGAATGCAGGAATGCAATATGCTTTTGTGTCTTATTTCGCGCTCGTTCCAAAATCATCAATTTAAATTCACAAAAATGTACCCGACTTTTGATATTTGTTTTGCAAAATAGTGGCATATTTGCATGGCTTAATATAAAGCAAAACAAAAATACCAGAGGCTGGACAGTGCCTTCATAGTCGGATTGAACTGTCAGTCCTACATATAGATTTCTGCGTATGTTTTTTTTTCTTACCTGTTTTGTTACCTACAACTTGGTTGGTGATCATCAGTAATACAAGGTTCTCCGCTGTATCTGCCCCTGCTCTGTTGCCTTAATTGTTTGATTTTAGTAAGATTTTCTTGCTTTTTGTTTGTTAATTGCTTGTTTACTTTTGTTTTTATTTAATGGTTTTATTTCTGTTTTTCTGTTGTTGTTTTTGTATAATGTTTTGTTTTTGCTTCGTAATGTTTTGTTGTATTTTTAATCATTAAAAAAAAAAGATGTGGTCACTTTAGTTTTCATCGGATTTCACAAAATTTTGAACGGGATGATGTCACTTTATCCTTGACAAAAATCATGATGGCATAAACATTCTAGGAATGGGCCTTGAGGGTGTGTGTCAGATAAAAAGGTATGCCGCCTCTCGAGAATTTTGAAATTACGAATTAATACCTTTATGTAGTTTTAATATCTCATATAGTATATTTCATGATAAAATAACATCTTCACTGTAATTAAGCGTAAATATTGTGCCCACTCGTTTCGCTCGCTCACAAGAACTAGAAAATTTGATACCCGGACAGGCGTCGTCAGCTCCCCCCCCCCCCTCCCCATCCCCCTTGCGACATTGTGCCAGTACACTATACAAGTCATGCTGAAAATATCTTTTGCCTAAATAGCTGATATATTCTATTCCCTTTGTATCAAAAAAATTCATCGTGAGTTTTGAGTGCTGCAAACAAATATTTAATGGTCTATGGGTCTATTCTGAGTATTCCTTTTTGTTATAAGCACTCTGCAAGCACGCGAAGGACTGAAATAGACTTCTGATGACGTCACCACTGTATAACAATACACCACCCAAAAAATACCCCCGTTCAGGCATTTGCCAATAAACACAACCGGATTTTCCAAAGTGACCAAAGACCTCAACTCGTTACGAACCTAGATCGGAGAAACGGTGAGGAAACGGAGCCAGTGAAAATTATGGTTCCCGGTATTTTTGTTGCTCGGATATGAGGAATTAGTGGGGCTAAAGACTTTGGACGTAACCGTGTTAAAACGTTAAAATCGAATTTTGTTGTTAAAAAGTGAGTTCGTTTGTTTTCAGTGAATTTGGTCTTGGGGGATTAGTGAGGACTCAACAGGTAGTGCTGCAAGGCACTTGGAGGGCAGCAGCGTTTGTACATCCGTGAATCTTCACGGATTCTAGGTAAGCAATTTTTTATCTCTTGTTATAATACTATTCTGAAACGAAAGAATGACACCCCAAATTGATGAAAGGGGTTCAAAACGGATCTAGGGGGAGACAGCCCGGCGTGTTACGGACAAACTCTCAACTGTTCTTACCTGTTTCTGAGGTTTCAAATGGGAAGGGGGGCGCAAGCCCGTAATATTCCGTTTTGGATATATTATTGACGTGTAGTAAAACTGGCATATTTGGGGCCTATTTTAGTCCGCCTAGCATGGATGTATATAGTATGAATCGTTAATAGGGCTTTCTGAAATGCTTTGTATGATTTCCATTTGCTGGTGGTCACAGAGCAAGATATTACAACACATAAAAAAGTATCACTGGCAGAATATTAATGCGAGTACATTTAGTTTGTTTAAAACAACTTAGATCCTCAACCATTACGTTTATCCATCAAAAAAAAATGTTTATTGAATTGAATTGGTTTACAACATGACATGCAGCTTAAGGCTGAAATTAACTATTTTGCAAAGTAATCAGCAATTTTCATTAAAATACAAAAACAGCAAACTACACATAAGTCAAGTGATATAATAAAGATTTAAAGATTGTCATTTCGAACTTATTCACCTTACAACTGATGCTAATCAACGTGATTATAACAGACCTGCATGACGCCGAATACTCAACCATGCCATATATTTGTGGAGAAGCGTCGCTGTGGTGGTATTTCAAACATTTTCATTACCACTCCAACAGATAGTTGTGAATTGTTGTGTGACCATGGCAGGCTTAAATGAGTCACCGGTGTGCAAACAACCGGTGAAAAATCATCAAAACAAAATATGGCAATGGACTACCTTTCATAACCATTTCTGGTTTTGTTCTTATTTCCTCCTCTATGTCCTCTGCCGTTCCCCAAAAAATGTTGTCAAATCGCATGAACCTGTAAACCATGTCGTTTGTTGAGAGCCTGAGTGAATTAATTCAAAATAACAGACGATGTCAATCTACATGAAAGAAAATCCTGGCTTTACAAAGCTTTTTCAGAGAGTCCTAACTATTCATACTGTATATATTTGAGTAGGTTATAAGTATGCCTATTTATTATTATTATAATGATTATATATTAAAATCGATTTTCAAGGATTCATGTCCGTATCTCTTCAGGTGAAAGCAACAAAGACGTTACTCATAATTATCACTTTGCATAGAGTTAACAACCTTCCTGGCTCGTAGCAAGAATTCTTGTTCGTATTCTTATTATTATCCCAGGTTATTTCAATTAACACGCAGTGCTATAATACACATATAGGAAAATAATGGAAATAATAATAATAATAATAACTTCGGTTCTAACAGTTTTCATAACATTGTGACATTGGCTCTGAATAAACCGATCCAGTCGTCTTTTCTCTTTGTATATTAATAATTGTGTTTATAATCACTATATATACTGTGTATAGACCAACCACCCACCCACCAGTTGAAGTATATTTTTATATTTCCCTGATATGTCCATTGCTACCACTGCAGTACTGGTATTAGAATCGAGTTGAAGCGTGGTAAATATCTACAATTCGCAATCCAAAAGACAACGCACAAAAATTATCTTTTGTTTAAAATCACTGTGCAGGCATAATGCCCTTCGCTAGACACTCATCGTTTCTATTCAAAAGCATTAGACTGTTACGAAGCAAAAAATAGCAATTCCTACCAGTGCATATTTACCTGACAATTATTATGTTTTATGAGGCTTATAGAAAGAGTCAGAACGACCTAATCATCACCATTTCAATATTGTTTGATTCCTAATTGCGAAACAAAACCAACAAAAAAATTGCCATTTTCAATGGTCGAGGAATGTATATTATTTGTTTACGTGGGTGTTGTTAATTGCAAAAGTATATGGTTACTCGTTATTCGTTTTTTCAATTTTCAAACAAAGGCACCTCTCTCTCTCTCTCTCTCTCTCTCTCTCTCTCTCTCTCCTATTTCACATTATTGCTGATAGACGCAACCAATTGGGGTAGGGCTATTTGAGTAAAAACGCAAAGAACATTCTCAGCTACACTGAATCACAAACATGACAAATTTACCCATTCGCCCATTCTACGCCCATGCATGTCTCTTTTTTTAATTTTTTTTTTATCCATGTACATGTACTAGTACTACTATACTACTATTCTAATTTCTATTATGAACTCCAAATCACACAGAGAGACTCCAGACATCCACCCTGCATGCTATAAATCCTTAAATTGTGTCTTTGTCTTTTGTCTATACTCCTGACAGCCTAGAGTAAACCGAACCAAAATTACGAAACACCTTCACAACACTCGAGGAAAAACGCATACGAGTTTGATCTCCTCATGGCGCAAACAGATACACCGACAGAAAAACAACCCACGAGGGATGCTTCACAAAAGGACCTCGAGAACGACAACGCGAAGAGTGATGACAGCGACAAAAACGTGCGAATTGCGAATAGAACGCTTACATCAAACGACGACAACGATATCGTCGATGATGACGATGATGGGAGCAATGTAGACATCGCAGAAAGACTTGGAGAATTTTCCCAAGCGAACGATAAATCGATTGACTTAGCTGCTATGTCGGGTGCGAAGAAGGGTGAGAGACAAACGTTTATTCATAGTTACAGCATTTCGAAATCATCGTGGAGATCGTGGGCATCGAAAGTTGCTGCTACCTCCAATATCGACGTCGCATTAAGGGTAGGACTTTTATTTGTTTTGTTTTGCAATACAATTATGAGCCAGTTATACAGATTCATATTGGAGATATTGAACTCTCGTAAATAAATATGCGTTAAATAGTTCCAGTGAACGAGACCTACGGCCCGCGATACGTCGGTCTCGTAGGCTTTCTGGTCAGTATTTAAAGAGGTTCCGAGACCTACCACCAAAGAGACCGACAATGTATGTTACACTAGCCTTTTGACCACTAACTCTTTCTACATTTCCTTTTTAATTAATTTTATTTTTTCCATCTTTCATCTTCCTTTTCTCTATTTACGTATGTATTTCGTTATTGTGTCGGTCTCTTGGGATATTAGTCCCGAGGGAAATACCCGATTTGACTAGCATAATGCAGTCATGGGGTATTTTGTGTCTATTAGGCCTACTGTTTCATTAACAATTTGAATGATTTCGATCATGTCCATGATAGTTACATACTCATAATACTCAGTTATGTCGGAAAGATATTGTCATTGCCATACCATAATTATTTCAGTTGATATAGGCATATTGGTAACAGGAATATCGCTGTATCTATAACAAAACAAAATAGAATTTGTGTTAGACATTTTCCTGTAATTATGACCGCATGAAGGAAATAATGATTTTTTTTAATAATTTTTATCAGGATATCACTTTTTCCCTTTAACCATGGCATGATCAACCAAGGACGGAATTCAATTCATTCCTGTTTCTAAAGATCAACATGTATTCAACAGAAATGGAACAAGGCTATTTAAATGATTCGTTTCCTCGTCGTATTGTATCGCTTGTAAATGAATCTATTTATGAGACTATCTGAACATCCTAAATTATAATCTGGCGTCATAATGGTAATTGACTGATACATTTTGCTATCAATGACAATATAGGATGATAAAGATTGCATGTAATGGCAACTGACGAGACCAACATTATCGGTCCCGTGAACCATATGAACCGTTTTCGGAATTAGACCCCATTCTCACTGACTACGTTGGACCGGTCTACGCTAGACCGACCCACTGGGCCGCTCTAGAGCTAGGGTTCGTTTGCCTTCACACTCAACGCATTTTTTACCCTAATGAGACCCTTAATTGATATCAAAGCAACAGGATCCTTTCTTGTTGCTATGACAGCACGGGTCATTTTCGCGCGGAAACCAACGGTATGTACAGCTGGCCTGAACGCCAACTGATGGTTTTGTTTTGTTTTCGTCTCAAAAATATATACTATATATTTTCCTCGAATAATGTTCTGTTTCCATTTTTTCTTTATTCTAGTCTTTTGCTTTTACTCCCCTTTTTCTTTGAAAGAAATACTCATTTCGGAGCCCTGGCAAAATCAATTATTAACTGATATATGTTTCGTTTTCACTTTTTACCTCTCTCAGAATATTTCTCTTCTCCATGCGTGTTGTTCTCTCCTCCTCATCTTGATGGGGATTATGGGCGTGGTCACTAAGAGTTACATGTCCTACCTTGTTATTCCCATCTGGAGTCCAATCTTCGTAAGTCTATATCCTATAACCAGGAAGGTATTAAAGGAAAAGTTGAGTTCTGGTCATCCGATTGTATTGTGAAAGAAACGTTGTGGAGTAGATCAGAAGGTATCGGTGTGTACTGCAAAGTTCTAGAATCATCAGCAATTTGGCCAAGTCTTGGTAAAGTTCCAAGCACTGTACACAGAAAGATGTACATGGGACTATACGAACATGTGGTGTAAAAATCCGTCCCGAGTTGTATGCTGTTACATGCCATATTTATAATTTAGAATATTTAGACATTAGAAGAGCCATGCTTTTCAGGGAACATTTTTTATCTGATGTTCTTTCACACTTGCATAATAACAATGATAACGCTCACAAATTATTTATTCACCTCTTCCCAGAACTCAATCTTCTCTTAAAAGGAAAGTACCCTATCGTGTTTCATCTTGTTTTCAACATTACGTCTTGTTTTTCTCTTTGCTTCTAGTTCTTCTTACCAACTAGCTTTACAGGGCTCCTGACGTACTCAAGATTACGGAGTCATTCATCGGTAAGTAGTAGCGGCATCATCGATCTTCGTTGGTTTACAAACTGCTTTGCAACCTTGATGCACAAGTATGATTATCTTATAATTTCAGAAATGTACACTAGCAACTGAGGTACCAAATTTACAGTTTGAAATAGATTTCAAAGGGCTAAATGTAATAATTCTACCCGGATGTTATTCTTATTTCAGGCAGAAGTTGTCCATTTCCACCTCGACCTTTTTTTTCAAAAGCTATTACGATTTCCCACCCTCCCACTTTTTTAAATTTTGCTTTTCTTTAAAAACTTGTTGTTGTAGTTTATTTTTTGTTATTCTTTTTGTTTTTCGTGTTGTTCTTCTTATGCTAAAAATATCTTTTTGTTCTATTTTTTAAATCCACAAACTTCCAACAACCTTTTAAACCCCGAACAATATTAATAATACTAATAATACTTTGTTCTTTTATAGCGCATTTCATGTCTGTTATCATTGCAATGCGTAATAAAACAAGATCATGAAAGGAAGATGAGTAAACAGGAGCATATAAAGAAAACAATGACGTTCTTACAAAGAGAAAAATTACAACATTACGTATCCTTTAATACTGTTGATATGCCAATTTGAATATTTCAGTATTGGATATACAACGTAGGGAGTTAATATGTAAATGAATTTTCTTTCTCTCTGCCTCCAGATCCAGAGATTAATCATTCTTTCGTCACTGTCCACACTGCTCTCGTTATGTTTGTGTATAGTCTTCGCATCCTTCATCTTTCGAGATGGACAACTTGAATCAGATTGTAGACCGTCTCCAGCAATCTTATCTTCAGCGTGTCGGCAATCGGTAAGAAGGTGGAACAACTTCGTTCCTACCTCTTCCCCAATCTACACATCCCCCTCTTGTACCCTGTACCCCTACTGTTCCTCCTTACCTTCTCTACCTATTCCATGCCCCTCTTCTTGTTCCTCATCTTGCTCATCCTCTTATCCTTGTACTTCTCATTTTCCTCCTTCTCATTTTTCCTTTCCGGCCCTCATCTTGTTCGTCTTTTCTCTCTCTCCTTCTTCTCCTCCTTTTCCTACCCATCGTATCCTTCCTTCTGCTCCTCATTACCCGCTCTTCATCCCCTTCCTTCTCTCTTCCTTTCTACTCCTTGTTTCTTTCTCTTAATACCATTCCCCCTTCCCCCTTCCCCCGTGTCTCTATTCCTCTTTGGCTCTCCTTTTCCTTTTCATTGTAATCTCCAATTAGCTTCCTTATCTTTCCCTCAATTTTCTATATTCTACCTTTACTATTCAATTAATCAATCAATTCAATTTATTTCTGTTTCCAACAAAACATGGCAAATCAATTATAAACATATACAACAATTTAGGAATATTGGAAACAGAGGGGTCCACTAAACAGCGATGCTTGTACAAATGTGGACACCTCAAATGATACTCAGGAATAATGAGTAACTAAATCAACAAGTTCATAACCACAAAAGGAACTACAAAATAGGAAGAAAAAAAGAGGGGTGCTAACAGACGAGAACGGGACAAGACAATGTATTCATGGGTATATATTTTCTCATTGATCCTGATCTATCTTCTTGATCATCCTTTTCTAAGTTACATCCTAGACAGTTTTTTCTCTCGTTCAAGTTTTCTCGTCATCAATCTCCCTAATCATTTATACATGAAGAGCAATAAAGCTGGAACTTTTTGAATGGCAATTCGTACCAACATGTTAAAACAATATGATGTTTTTTTGTTTTTTTTTCCATTTTCAGGTATATCGTGTGCTGATCAACGCTGTGATCGTCTTCATCTACGTCATCGAGTTGATCGCTTCTAGTTCATCTCTACTTGTCTGCCTTATTGTAAAACCTGGATGTGCAAAGAAGTCCTTCGACACAGAACAATTAGTAAGGAGTGTAATTAAACAAAAATGTTATTAGACAGGCCCTCATCGTAACGACACCGGTTTTTTTTTTTTTTGCGTAGTTGGTGTTGAAGGCGTTATATTTCTTTAATAAAGGAATTTTTTAAATAAAGTTTAGAAATTATTTAAAGGTTTAATCAGCTCTGATTTAACGTAGACTGGAGATAAGTTATATCCGACAGGCGAATATTGACATTATATTTTAAAATTGAAACTCGGTATTATAGCTCACCTTTTGTTGATAATTGATATCATCTCAATCGCAATTTTTCGTTGTAATGAGAAACACTATGAATGTGATGGTGGTGGCGCGGAGGTATTGGTCTTGATGACGACAACGATGACGATGGTGATGGCGTGGTGGGGTGGTTATGGTCGTGGTGGTAGCATTATAATGATAAATGTGGTCGTAAGAGCTTAAAACTTTAAACTGATTTAAAAGAAAATATAATCCAGTAAAGTTCTTTACAGGCTCTTTAAAAACAAATCAAGTAACTTCACTTTATATCCTCTGTGTACTTCTTACAATCTCAGCTAATCTCTAGGACCAGTATGTCCTACAAAAGGCTAGCTGCAGCAGACGAACCGGTGGACTATTTCGAGGATAGATCTGACCCACTCACCAATAACAACGCAAGCAACAACATGTATCCGCGAAGTCTGAGTGCGCCAGCTATCGTCAATCTCTCTACAACTCGGCCCTACACTGATTAGTTTTACAGTGGGACTATAAAAGTCGCGATGTGTTTTTTCCGGGGTGGTTTTGGTGTTGTCATTTGCTGTTTCATATTTATCTAGAATTTTTTTTTCAAGGGGTTGATGGAATCCACTCCAGACGAAGGTGCTTCAAACATTCTAGACTATATCACGACCGTCTAGAACGAAAGACGGGTGAAAAACTGTTCAATGATATGGATATCAGGTTTAACATTAAAGCTTATCAACACTAGTGTGGCTAGGAGGGATTAGACCACACAGCGAGGTCACTGACAGGTGGCTATCTCATCAACTCAGCTCTCAAATAACATAAGAAATAGAGGATCATGGGGGACCAACAGGCACCGATTGGGGGAGTTTTCTATACAGAGGGAGCAAGTAGCTACAAGTAGGACAGTGGGGCTTTAAAAGGAAATCCAATCTTGATAGCAATATACTCTTGACTAGAGGAAAGCAAAAAAAAATCAGAGAGATACTGATGAAAGTTCGAATGAAATCGGATAAAAGTAAAAGGAAAAATTCTTGTGTTTGTTTTTAGTTGGTAATTACAATTGGCTCTTCAAATTTGCTGATCAGTAAATGCTTTGTGATGTAATATAGTGGCGTAAAACTTTCCTATCAGTTCCCAAACTCAGGAGGGTGTTTTTTTTTTTTAGAAAGAGCCTTTTTCGATATGCCATCCATAACATATTTTGAGTAGTGCCCCATATATGCTTTGGAGAAAAACAAAAACATGAATTAGTGGTGTTTTTCAACACCATGCACAAACGAGAGTTATCCGCGACTACGTCACAATCTGACCAAGCTGCCAATTTGAGATTAACATAGACAGAGACAGTAGAGTGATCTCATATTTCACATATTCATAACTTTCTTAGTATAGGTTAAATTTAAAATTTCGCCATTCTGTTTATCTTATTTGTCTGCTTCCATGCAAATGAACTTATTGCTCGGGTTGGATTGCCGATATTCGATGATGAGTGGACGGTGGACTATTCGAATATATTTCTTGATGATTATGTCCTATTAATCGTACACAAAAGTTATTACATCAAGCCGGTAATGCGAGTTTTTCAATGACTTGTGCCGTGGTATACCATTCATTATGTTATGAATTTGAAACGTATGAATATAAATCTCGTAAATGTAAATTTAAACAAAAATCGTATCATTTCAGGTTAGATAAAATAGTCAATCTGTACGGAATCATCCCCTTTTGATTCATTTTTACTGTTTTTTTAATTCCTTTTTCTTTGTTGTTGATTAGCCTATATAGGTTATCTCGTGATGCTTTAAAGGGCAATACCCGCACAAAGTTAATGTCGGTGATATTGATAAAAATCTTTGTCTAACTAGCAATATTAACATGATCTATGCAAGAAAACTGTCAGCTCATTAAAAAGAGCGTGACTATGATATATTCGGCTGAGAGGTACGTGGATACAGCCCACGAACCAAATCTGAGTCCCGACGCATATAACTAACAAAAAATTATATTTCTTTGTGTCTCCTGAAATAAATAACATATTGAAAAAATTTCGGAATAACTTGCTACTACGGTACTTCATTTCTTTCTAACAACAAAGTGAGATTACCAGTCATTTTTCTCGGTGTAATAATTTTTCCACGGCTTTATGATCAATTTTACATCTGTGAAGCGTTTGAGCGACATCGTGGATGAAACTCTGAGAAAAAAAATTCAATCCTCCGTCATTTGAAACTACCGCAGCGCCAGCTATCGTTCATGGTGGAAATACGTATGTCAATGCAATCATAATTATGGAATAACATATGTGGAATACTTCCGACATAGACATTCGTTGATTAACCCCTGTTCTGTCTGAATTGAATTCAAATTTTAGTTTTAAAATTAATGTGTCAATACCACACGCGTTAAATCCCCTTCTTATCGTCCTTCTTTTCCGCTTCTTCTACTTCTTCTTCTCCTTCTTCTACTTCTTCTTCTCCTTAATCTTCTTCTTCTTCTCCTCCTCCTCTTTATTTTTCTTATTTTCCTTTTCTTCTTCTTCTTCTTCTTCTTCTTCTTCTCCTTCTTCATCTCCTTCTTCTTTCTGTAAATATCAGTTGGTATAAGTTAATGGGTGATGCAGGAATCTCTGACAAGGGGGGGGGGGTATTATATTTCAGGCGCTTTAGTCTTAATCATCCATCACGGGGGGGGGGGGGCAATTTTGTCTTTTGATACTCGATGTTAATTTCAGATTTTCCAAATTGTGTTTTTCCGGTTCGGGGGGGGGGGGGGGGGAGGGGGGAATCCCGTCTCGTTTCCTTGATCAACCTCTGATGGTATATGCCGAGTAGGGTTTGTCCGAGGTAAAACACTTTTTTTTTCTTCATCAAAACATGCAACAGTGGCCATGGCGATTTTATTTTCGCAATATCATAATTATGCAGGAAACATGACAGTGGTCTGTCAAACGTGACTATGGTCTATATTTTGATGATTATTATCTTATACATTCTGGTTAGTTTACTTTTTTCATCGGATCTTCACATTGCTATGAGAATACCATTTGCTGCCTTGATGATTATTATTGTGTAAAGTTATATGTATAACAGTGCTTTTTAAAATGAATGGGCCTATCATAAATTGCTCTCAAAATCTCAGGAATGTTTTTTTTTTAATTATTCTATAAAACGATTAATCTTTAATCTTAAGTACGTTGAATATTAATTTAAAATATTTGTATGCGCCTTGAGCATCTCTAAAGATGGATATGTTGCGCTTTATCAATATTGTTATTATTATTATTAATCATTAATTCGCCTACTTTTCAAGACCTTACGAAAGATCTCGGCCTATACTAGTTTTACTAGTCGAAATATCTACATGCTGCAATTTAGATGATACAGCTGAAAATAAGCAAGAACCAATTTCGAAAGAGGGAGAGAGAGAGAGGGAGGGAGAGAGAGAGAGAGAGAGAGGGGGGAAAAGAGAGAGAGAAAGAGAGAGAAAGAGAGAGAGAGAGAGAGAGTCAGGCAGAGAGAGAGAGAGAGGGAGGGGTGGGGATAATTACCATAAGAATAGAACTCCAGCTCTCTCTCTCTCTCTCTCTCTCTCTCTCTCTCTCTCTCTCTCCATCTCTGTTTCTCTGTATCTGTATCTCTGTCTCTGCCTCTCCCTCTTTAACCTCTAACTGGGAGGACGTGCCCCTCGACCCCCCCCCCCCTCCCCCGCCCTCATAACTGCGCCTCTGTGCACAACCAACTCTAAAATTCTTGAAAAGTAGGACACAAAATGACTTAATGATTCTAAAAGAAGGAAGTTTGCAAGGTTTGCAACAATGGAGTAGCTGCATGACTCATTATTTTCATATCTCATTCTTACGAAAATTCCTTTCCTTGTCATGATGCCGGTCAACGTCAATACTAGATGAAAGAAAGGCGGGAGAGAAAGGGGAAAATCGATAAAGAAAAAGAATGATGGGTATAACGGCTGAATGGCTTCATTGTGATAACTGAGGGTGATACTTGTTTCATTAGTCTATCTACAAACCTAGACCTGCAATATCTACCACCCATATCTACCACGTAATACGTCAGAGGTTTTACCCATTACAATCCATTATGAATTACATTTGAGAAATTACAACCACTTCTTACAAAAGGGTAGATTGTGGCACGATAACGACAATGCAATTATGCGGCTAATTTCCTTCTGCGGTTTACGAATAAAAGTCTTGTAATGTCAGACTACTTTTTGTGAAGGCAGCGCAGTCAATCAGCTGGTCGCATATATATACGCTAACGTTCACTTGGTATGTTTCCAGTGTTTCGAAATGAATTAGAAAAGTAGGAGCAGGAGGGACGGTTTTGTCGCAAAAGCTGGAATAAAGTTGGAACTAAATCATTATGGCTCATCAGGAGAGCGCTCAGTTTGGAAAAGGAGATTTTGTTCTCCTGGATGAAATCTCAGAAGATGCTTTCATGGCGAATTTGAAAATGCGGTGAGTTTATCAAGTAAATTTGTCGCATTTGTATTTCCTGCTGGCATGGGAGCTACCGCAATGAAGTCCACTAGCGGACGGTCAGCTAGCGGGGCCGGTCTGGCCTGGTGAGGCTTGAAGCTTTACAAGTAGGAACATCGAACACCTGTTGATGTCTCACAGCACAGTCCCAGTAATTTCAAATGACGATACTTTTTAAAACTCTGTCATTTGATATTACCATACGCTACATGGTAAAAGGATGAAATAAATTGATGCCATCATTATATTAAAAGTTCATCATATTCATGGTCCTCACATTATAACATATTAGGTGGATCCAGGAATGCCATGAGAGGGGGGGGGGGGGGGTGCTCAGTTTTGGTCCGATGAGATGAGGGTGTGCTGCTGAAGCTCCCAAATCCATGTTTTAAGGGTCATTTGGGCAGAAAAAGTTGTTAGAAATTTAGAACTTGGATGAAAAAAAATTGTTTTAATTATTTTGCATCTGGAATTAATAATTTGTCAAGGAACTATAGAGTCTAGATCTATAGCATAGGGAGAATATGGGTAAAGAAATTATTAACTCATGTGTAACAACAAGATCTTGCACTGCACTGGCCATTTTTTTTTAAAGCAATGTACAGTACCGTAATAGGTGAGTTTGCCCCACCCCCCCCCCCCAGGGAGAAAGGGGCATTTAGATTGATAATTCCTGATATTTTATTTTGAGGGAAGGGGGGGGGGGGTACTGACTACCAGTACCATGTGATTTTTATTACATTAAATGGCATAATCACCTACTCTTCATTTTCAATTGAGACTTCACTTGTAATAAATAAGTATTCTTTCTTCTTATTCTATTTCTTCTTCTTATTTTTCATGTTTGTTTTTTTTATTTTGAAAAGCATATACAATAGATTTAGTGTTGTGTGGAGCATGCAGTGTACTACTATTCTTACAGTTGTATATTTATAGATCAGACTTACATGGTTGTAAGGGAGACGGGGGGTGAGTACCCATATGTACACTGTTAAAGAGAAGGTTGAGTTCTGGGAAGAGGTGAAAAATAATTTGTGAGCATTACTCATTCTTATTATGCAAGTGTGAAAGAACATTAGTTAAGACATTTTCCCTGAAAAGCATGGCTCTTCAAATGCCTTCATATTCTAAATATGCATGTAACATCGTAAAAATTGTGGGCCGGCATTTTACGCCACGTGTTCGTGTAGTCCCATATACATCTTTCTGTGCAAGTGTTTGTAACTTTACCAAGACTTGGCCACATTTCTGATCATTTTGATGATTCCAGAACCTTGCAATACACACAAATTCTTATATGCTAGATGGTCAACCTTTTCTTGTCGGTTCCACACCTTTTCTTTCACAATGCAATCGCATGACCAGAACTCAACTTCATCTTTAAGTTGTAAGCTTTGTACAGTAGACCAGGGAGGTGTCACAACCCTGAGTAGATGGTGTAGACCAATATAGTATAGTCTCATTTATTAGGTCATTGCTTGTTCATATCGACTTCACAAAATATTTACGTTGGGTAATCCGATGTACAGCAAAGTAGCCCCTACAATACTAATTGGTGAGGAAGAATGAGCAGAGAGAGCTAGAGTTCTAACTCGTGATCCTGCAGCCTTTCTTCATCCTCAAAAGGGGCGATGGCATGCTTGATTTGACTTCTGCAATGGGGATAGGAAGTCTCTCCAGCTATGTTTGCATGGGAGTCTCTTACATTGATCTGTTTGGTAAAATAATTTTAAAGGAATATATTTATCACAAGAAAATAACAAAACTAATATACAAGCATACACTGTAGTATAAAATTTACATACGGCCAGCAAATAATGGCATTTAATTGAACAACAACCAAATTAGGAACACGGGAATTACTGTACATGATAATAAACAAAAAACAAAGAAACAGAAGGCTCGATAGCCCATTTTTCAGCTGCGCATGAATAGTGGTTGTTGTCTACAACTTAAATGTTTCACAAACTTCAAGTTTAAAACTCTGACTGTCCTGTGTGAACTATATGTACAAGTTGTCAAAAACTCAAAGTTAATGATTATTGCGTATTCGTGTTCGCATTACAGATACTTACATGTAGTAAAGTGAGGGCACATCCCCCCCCCCCCCCCCTTGTTCACGTAGTAATGACATTAACCATAATAATGTCACCTGTGGTGTATAACTTTGAGTAAACATATTGGCCCAAATTCACAAAGGAGGTTTGTCGACAAACAAAAAATGAAATGGAAGCTCTTATTACCAATCATGTGAAAGAATATTATGTTTTGACTAATTCATGATGATAACAATTTTGCCGGGAAACCGCCTACTTATTGATATATTTGGCAAATTAGTTTATCTATTGGTATGTGAGAGATAAACGCATGTGTCGCACACGTGTGCGTAGTCCCATATACATCTTTCTGTGTACAGTGCTTGTAACTTTACGAAGACTGGGCCAAATTTCTTATCATTTTGATGATTCCAGAACCTTGCAGTACACACATACCTGTATATGCTAGATGATCAACCTTTTCTGATCGATTCCACAAATTTTCTTTCAATGCAATCGCATGACCATAAATGGTCTTTATCTTTAACCTTTAAGTTTATGGTTTCTTGTGTGAACATCGCTCATAAGGATAGGAAGTTTCTCCATGACCGCCCAGACAGTAAACAAGCCACTCACAGCTGGGTTCAGCCCTCAATAGAAAGTCTAGTCTCTTTGGGGTTGGACGGCTGCATTCCTCGGGGATGACTTCTTTCTGTGTGAGTCACACCCAACATGTATTCTGAGCTTTTCTTTTGAAAATGTCTAGTTTAATATGATTTTATGATAGTCAAGTTCAACATGGGGTAAGGGGCCTTGGGGCAGTCAAATTCTTTGAAGATGACTTCTTTCTGCTTGAGTCGCGCCCTTTCCTCAGCTCTTCAGTAGAAGTAATCATGGCTTACAGATGGTCAGAATTAACTTCCCTATATTCTTCTTCTTTTTCTCCTCCTCCTCCCTTTACTTCATCTTTTTCTTCTTATTATTCTGCTTCTTCTTCTTCTTCTTTTACTTCTTCTTCTTCTACTTCTACTTCTACTTCTTTTACTTCTTCTTTTTATTCTTCTTCTCCTCCTCCTCACTCTTCTTCTACAACTTCTTCTTCTGCATCTGCTTCTTCTCCTCCTCCTTCTTCTTCTTCTTCTTCTTCTTCTCCTTCTCCTTCTCCTTCTCCTTCTTCTCCCTCTCCTTCTCTTTCTCCTTCTTCTTCTTCTTCTTCTTCTCACTCTTCTTCTTCTTCTTCTTCTCACTCTTCTTCTTCTCCTCCTCACTTTTCTTCTACAACATCTTCTTCTTCATCTGCTCCTTCTTCTACTCCTTCTTCTGCTCCCTCTTCTGCTACCTTCTTTTTTTCTTCTTTTCCTTCTCTTCCTTCTCCTTGTCCACCTTCTTCTTCCTCTTTCTCCTACTTCTTCTCTTCTTGAAAGGGCTATGCAGCCTGATACAATATGGATCAAAGATTCCAAATGGTGACGGGGGAATGCAATACATTGAAATATTGACATTTTTTAAGTTTTGGGAGTTTTGCAATATGAGGAGAAAATCCAATACATTGCCAATGTTGTGAAAGGGTGGAAAAAAACTGGGAATGTTTGTCTAGACCTCCTCTGCATAATGAAGTCTACTTTACATTCATCGATGTATTTTAGAATTCTCGACTTTATTGCATGAACACAAAGGTCCATTATTGGAGCAAGGTGTGGAGCCATTAAGAAATGAGTCATCGTCTATATTTATCCACTGCCTAACAAAATGTTGATCTTTGTCCGATGTGTGACTTGTTAGCCTTAAAAATATTGTACATGACAGTACGCGTAGGCCTATAGTTGATGATAATCAGGAAATTCCTGCAGGTAGGCCCTATACATGTACATTTACATACTATGGATTACCAGAGATGCCAACCCTCCCGATTTTATCGGGAGGCTCCCGATAATTCACCCCAACTCCCGACCTTACGATCACCATCCTTATCCTCCCGATTTATTAAAAAAAAAAAAAAAAAAAAAATGATTTTTTTTTTTTTTTTTTTTTTTTTTTTTTTTTTTTTTTTTATTATGATTTTTTTTGGAGGGCGCTTATCAGTATATATATCTGTGAATTGAAAGAGAAATATCATCTGCTAACTTAAGCATGTAATAATTCCACTATGTTAAAAGACAAATTAAGAGTAGCGAAAGATTGTTTCAGCATATGGATCGCCGTAACCAATGCGTGGATATTGCCACAGAATCCAAATGGCGGAAAATCAGCAAAATAAGACCAGGAAATGGTCTCGGAAGTATAAGACCGAATACAGTATCAAGTACCTGTGTAATCGGAAGTCTGAAAGTAATTCATCATGCATTTTGTACAATTTTTATGTTATTTAAAAAAAAAGGGGGAATTATTTAACTAAATACACATGTAAAATGCTCCAAAATAAGGCTCAGATTGCACCAGAGAGCATCTAGAACCCCAGAGCTTCCAGGGCCCTAAGGCGGGCCCTGGACCCCGGCCGCATGTGTCGGGCGCTACGCGCTCGAGATGTGCGCTACGCGCACATTAATTGGTGTCGATTACAAATCCTCCCTATTTCTGATTTCCAAAAGTTGGCATCTCTGGATTACCTGGCTCATCACTTACAAAACTATTTCATTGCCAAATTCCTTGTTGTTCTTGTCCTGAAAGCGATATGTACATTTGCCATTGCCCTCACCCCCCCCCCCCTCTCTCTCTCTCTCTCTCTCTCTCCCACATAAAGTCTTTGGTCTGCCACTGGATCTGTTTGTAATTACTTGTAGACTTACATGTTTTATGAGCTTTACCTTTCTGACAAGAGGCAGAGGGAGAGGGGTCTTAACCATTTATTTCAATATTCTGGAAAATATTTTCTGAAATAAAATATTTACTTTTATTCATATATTGACCAAAGAAATGCATTCAAAAGTATGATTATAATCAGAG